AGGAGGTCTCCAGTAGACAACCTAGTAAATGGACCAGAGAAGATACAAATGCCTAAAGATTTGGCCACAAAAGCAAGGAAAAAGAAAGGAGCAGGATATCGTGCACAAACAGAGGGTAAACTCAGATAATAATACCATGTCTGCTGAAGGCAAGGCAATGAGTAATGAATTAAAGTGGTATCTTCTATATCAAGTGTGAAAACACCAATACACAAACAAAATAAATGTAAAAATATCAAGGATATATGGCATCACAAAAAGTAAGTGAAAGATGACCTTAACCCAAGCCAAAGGCATAGACTATTGTGATCTAACATTTCAAAATAGCAGTTATGTAGAATTATTTTAAAAACTCAGGCAGTTCAATAAATCAATAATAAAATACATAAACAAAACAATATTCTAAATAGACTGAAATTAGGAAGAGATTCTAAAGAATTCACTGAATAAGGTGAAGAAAGCAATCAAGAATATCTGTAGTAGGGCAGACCAGATGGAAGAATAAGTGACCTGGGTCACTTATGTTGAAAGGCTGTTAGAAAAGAAAAAGAACAGAAGTTTTTCAAAAAGGGAACAGTGGACAGGCCCCATGGCCTTGCAAGTCACCAGTGATGCCAGCCCCACCGTAAAGACACCAAACTCAGGCTGAATGTAATTGAGGCAACACAAGCTCCCAAAAACCAAATTACCAAACTCCAGCCAGCCACCAGTGATACCCCAGTCCTGATAGTAAGAACCCTGGATCCCATACCCAGCACACAGGGGGCAGAGTAAGCTCCCAGCCAATGCTGGTCCACCCAGGTACCAGAAACCCCAAGTCTCACTGCTCAGAACCCTGTAACACAGGACTAGTGCATAGATGTCATACCCTCCCCCCCCCCAAAAAAAAGGACCAAAAATCCTACATAGTATTAGCAACTTCCTGAGCCAACAACAGATACCCTGATCCAACGTGGGAAGTGGAGGCAGGCACACAGGCCCACATACTCAACAAATGTCCGAGTTCTCACGGAACACTATACCACATAGAGAATGTATCTACAGAGCCCAATCACAAAGTGCATTATCTGTTCTTCCTAGTAGACACTGAATTAAAATTTGACATGATAAAATTTGAAGAATATAAGGCAGACACAAAAAAGTAGATAAAATATGTACAAGAAAATTCAGAAAAATAAATGTCGTGAAAAACAAAATCAATGAACAGCTGAAATTATATTCCAAATAAAAAAATGGAATTACAGGATGTAGAAAGGTCAGTGAAGGAGTTGAAAAATACTGAGAATGCTATGGAAGTGCAATAAACTGAAAAGAAGAGTGAATTAGTGGGCCTGGATTTAAATATACAAATAAAGTATAGAAGAAAAAGAGAAATGAAGCCAAAAAAGAAAGGCACTTTGAAACTATGCAACTCCATGAAGAAAAGTAACATATGAAAAAATGGTAACATATGAAAAAATGGGGAAGAGAGAGAGAAAAAGAATAGAAAACATTGTTAAAGAACTTACAGAACTTCCTGTACCTGGAAAAGAAAATAAACATACAAATCCATGAAGCTAAAAGATCATCAGATACCTAATGAAAATGAGGCCTGTATTAAGATACAGAGCAGTTAAACCTCCAAGAGCTCCAGACATAGAAAGAATACTGTTGGCAAGAGGGAAGCAGATAACCTACCAAAGAATCCAATAAGGATAACACTAGACTTCTCTGAAAAGAAACACTGTGGGCAAGGAGAGAATAGATTGATGCTATGTAAAAACTGCAAACCAAGAAAACTCTATCTGGCAAGGTTCTCCTTTACATATGAGGGATAAATAAGGGCCTTCTCAGACAAACAGAAACCGAAGGAGTTTGCAAACACTATCAACAACCTCTCACCACCCTAAAGAAATATTGAAAGGAGTTTTTGAGCTATATAAACAAAGGAGAGAAATGTGTACAAAGAATCAAGCCAGGCAATAGAACCACAAAATAACAAAATGGCAGGATTAGCTATATGTCAGTAACTCCAAATGTAACCGAATGAACTAATAAAAGACAATATATATGGTTGGATCACAAAACAGAATCCAACCTTCTGCTGTCTCCAAGAGACAAAACTCAGCTCCAAATATAAACACAGACTCAAAGTAAAGGGCTGTGAAACATTCCTACAGGGAATGTAACCTAAAGGAAAACAAGAACAATTTACACAAAATAGACTTTCATTTCAAAGTGGTAATAAGAGGGTCTCCCTAGTGGTGCAGGGGTTAAAGTTTCAGATCCACTGTCAAGCTATCACTATCCACTGTGGCATGAGTTCATCCCTGGACAGGGAGCAAATCAACATGATACAGCAGACCTTTGCTGTCAGGCCCACTGCTTCCCTCAGCAATTCATTTTTCAGTGGGTCTGCTTGTTCTATTCTCTACTTGGTCTCTGGTGAATCTTCTCACTTCCTGCACTTCTGGCCTACATGCCAGTTCTTGTATACATAAATAAATAATTTTTTTAAAAAGGTAACAAGATACAGGGTGGGACACTATGTAATGATTGAAAATGATGCATAACACTCCTCAATGTATATTCACCCTATGAAGGCGTGCCAAAATACATTACGCAACGCCTATTAACTCTGAAAATAAACACTGGAAAAACATGTGTGTGGTTCCAAGACCCCATCTCAACAATGGACAGAACAATGAGATTGGAGTTTATTAGGGACACAAGAGTCTAACACAAAGACTTAACCATGGGACCTATTGATGTCTATAGGACCCTGTACCTAAGAAGAGCAGAACACATTTTTCTTAAGAGTATATTCTTTAGGACTGACCACATATTGGGTCACAAGACAAGTACCAACACATTCATGAAGATCAAAATCCCAAGCCTCCCTCTGGCCAAAAGGTAGAAATTAACTACAAAAAAAAAAAAAAAAAGGGCAGGAAAATAATGTAATCCATAGGACAGAATAACATATTAGCAAAAGACTATTGGGTTAATAAGGAACTCAAAGAAGAAAAGAAAAATCTCAATAAATGACAATGAGAAAACAGCCTGGCAGAACATATGGGACATAGCAAAAGTAGAACTCAGGGAATTTTATAGCAAACACAGGTCCATGTCAAGAAACAAGAGCTCAAAAGAACAAACTTAAATGTCATTTCAATGAATTAGAAAAAAAGTACAAACAAAACCAAAGCCAACAGAAAAAAGAATAAAAATTAGAGTAGAAATAAATGAACTAGAAGTAAAAAAGACAACCTAAAAGATCAATGAAGCTAAATGCTGATTCTTTGAAAAAAGAAAGAAAATAGACTAACCTCTTAACTGGCTCACTAATAAGAAAACAAAGGAGAAAACTTATTAGGATAAAAAATAAGAGAAGTTATAACACACACTACAGAAATAACAAGTTAAAAGACTACTATGAACATTAATATGCTAACAGATGGACAAATTTTTAAAATGATACAATTATCTGCGACTGAATGAGGGGAAAGATATCCTGAAGAAATCAATTACAAGCAAGGATATTGAGAGTAATCAGAATGTTCCCAGTATACAAATCCCTAGGAGCAGACGATTCACAAGTAAATTTCTGCTCAAACTCTTAGAATAATCTGAAAAAGGGATATTTCCAAACACATTTTCTGAGGCCAACATTAATACTGAAGTAAAACAACGACAATACAAAAATAGACCATACATACATACAGACCAATTTCCCTAATTAAAACAGATGTGAAAATCCTCAATAAAATCTTAGCAGGCCAATTGGAACTATGCATTAGAAGAATTATACACCATGATCAAGTAAGATTTATACCAGGAACACAAAGATGATTCAACATCTTAAAATCAAAGTAATTTACTTTAACAATGAAAAGAGGGGGAACAAATGATCGTGTCAGTAGATGCCAAAATAAGTTCATCAGATTCAACATGTATTAATGATGAGCACTCTCAATACCACTCACAAAACCACTCTGAGGATAAGTGGAACATATCTAACCATAACAAAAGATACACATAACAAGCCCATAGTTCACCATTCTCAGTGGTGAAAAACTGAAAGCCTTTCCAAAAAAAACTAGAGTCTACTCTCACTAGTCTCATTTCTAAATCAGGAAAGAAATAAAGCTATCACTATTTGCACATGTCCTGATAATAGGTAGCCCTAGAGATTTCATGGAAAACTAATTAAAACAACAAACCAGTTAAGCAAAGTGTAGTTACAAACTCAATATATAAAAACCAGCTGCCTTCCCAATGCAAACACTCAGGTAGAATAGGAAAAAAATAATATCTTTTATAAGCATAACAAAAAAGAATTAAATAGGAGTAAACCTAAGAAAGGCAAAGGACCTACACAAAGAAAACTACATGACATTGTTAAAAGAAAAAGGAAGACATGAAGAAATGGAAAGACATTCCCTGCTCACATATTAGAAACATAATAAAAAAAATTTAAATTGCCTCACAAAAATATTCTTAATGTTATTTATATTCCCATTCCAAATCAATTATTTTTTATTTAGTAAAAAGTCTGGACTTGGGCCTCCCTGGTGGCGCAGAGGGTTAAAGCGCAGTACTAAGAAGCTAAAGCCACTTCCGCATGAGTTCGATTCCCGCCTGCCCCGGAGGTGACCACATGGCGTGGCAGACCTCTCCTGACCCGCCTGCTGCTCCCCTCAGCAGTGTACTTCATTGCTCTGCCTGTTCTGCTCCCCTCTTGCAGCCTCTTGCTGCCCCTGAACCTCTGGCCTGTACCCCAGTTCTGTATGCACAAATAAATAAATCTTAAAAAAAAAAGTCTGGACTCAAGTATAAGCAAACCTACAGTCCCTAGTAGTCTCATGAGTGCATGTCGTCTTGAGTGACTGTGCAAATGTCTCAAGAATGCTATGCAGTGTTCATTTTCATTGCATTCTCACAGATTCTGACAGAATTTGCAAACAGACTATATTGAAATTGAACTCATATACAGTCACATTAACACAGTGAAAGCTTTATTGAGGTGAAAGGTCATTAAAAAACAGGGTTTCCCATAATTTGCTGTTCTAGTGAATGAATACATCAACATTGTAAGTACTCAAGTGAACATTATGGATAATTTACAAATAACAATGTATTATAATCAATTTCAACTCCAAAGTAAGCTTATTTTGGTGTTATGACAAAAACATTCATGTTATATATAAATGGGTTTTACTTACATGACCAATTATTAATGATGAAATTTCTTTGGTTGAATAAATACCAACTTTTCAGATTTATTTTTAATGTCATAATACATTCAACCTATGTACATTGGATTATACCTGTCAGGTAATCTAACAAATTATTTTGTAAAAGAGGTCGTTTTCTTTGTGAAACTGCTTAAGAGTCACACACCACTTTGGGAAAAATAACTTTAATGTTCTATATACTTAAGATTATTATTTGTGAAAATTTGTATACAAGAGTTTCAAAATTTAAATGTCAATAGAAGACAATAACAAGTTCAAAGCCAACCTGTAACCAGTTCCAGAAGTGTGGAAGATTTAAGAAGTGTAGAGATTCTGTGAATGTGAAGGAAACCTTTTTGTATTTCATAACTTGTGAGCTTACTGTTACAGAATGTATGCTTTTAAAATACAGGATTTATTTCAAATAGAGGTTTCTTTTATGTTTCCAGAATTAAAATGCTCAGAACTCTCACTATAATTATTCTTGGAATTTCTGAAGTTATCCCAAGTCTGGGATGTAAAGAACCGTTATCCTGTTGTAAATCGGAGTAGCAAGACTCTCTCCAACATCCACTTTCTCTTTTAGAGACCAATTTTGTTACTGAATGTCAAAAGTAGAGAAAAATAATAATAAACTACCAAAACACCTTAAAATATCAATTGCAATCTTTCTATTATTTCCTACATACCATAATTACCAATAAGAACACAGAACAAGATGTTCATGCTTATACAATTTAAGATAACTGGTTTACTTGTCACAGAAACTGCAATATATTCTATTCTTAATTTAAGACTTGTAAGAGCCTGATTATATGTATTTTTGTCTATCATAAAAACCTAACCATTATGCCAACATTCATTTATCCATTACAATCTTGATTAAGTTCATACTAGAAGGCTACCAGTAAATAGATTTCTATTCTTCATTACTTTTGGAAAAACAGCTCACTGATTGCTGTGACAGTTTAGGAGATTCTTTAAACACTTGCATGCTTTTCATCTTCATGCTCCCACAGATTTCACATCCAGGGTTCCCACCCTTCCCAAGTTCTGCCCAGGATGTTGGGATCTGTTGCCTGGTCAATCAAGCACTTCACTTGAGCCTCTTCTAAAAGACCACTCTCTGGCTCTTGGGCACGAATATTGTGATCTTTGCTTCCTCGTGCGACAGCAACATAATGAACAAAGGCAGATTCCTTCTCATGGCCCAAAAGTAACTCATCACTGGAAAAAAGATTAAACAAGTAAAAAAACACAAATCATGCTTTATTTTCTGCTTGTGACCTACTCAAAAATTCCCTCTCATCACTGCTAAAATATTTTTAAGATATTTGATTTGTAAGAAAACAGAACACAAATAATGTCGCTATTAATGTTTGTTCTACATTTTTTCTTTTTTTTTTGGTGGTCAAATGCTTTCATGACTCTTGTGTATATAGAGTAGAACATCTGGGTCTAATGGTAACTCTATGCTTAACCTTTTGAAGAACTCCCAGATTGTCTTCCAAAGCAGTCGCACAATTTTATATTCCCTCCAGTAGCAAGGAGGGCTCAAATATCTTCACAGCCTTACCAACATTTACTATATTCTATTTTTAAAATTATAAGCAACCCAAAAGGATATGAAGTGGCATCTTATTTATATTTCTCTGATAACTAATTATGTTAAGTAAGCATGTATTTATTGGAAATTTGTGTCTCTTTTTTTTTTTTTAAGATTTATTTATTTGTGCATACAGAACTGGGGTACAGGCCAGAGGCACAGGGATGGTAAGAGGATTCACCAGAGACAAAGTGGGGTGCAGAACAGGCAGATCTGTGAAGTACAATGCTGAGGGGAGCAGCAGACGGGTCAGGAGAGGTCTGCCACGCCATGTGGTCACCTCCGGGGCAGGCGGGAATCGAACTCATGCGGAAGCGGCTTTAGTTTCTCAGTGCTGTGCTTTAACCCGCTGCGCCACCAGGGAGGCCAATAATAGCAATTTTTTGTAAATATGCAAAAGACTTTTACAGATACGGCTTTGAAAAAGATACACAAATTTCTGCCCCCCCCCCCCCGTCGGTGGCGCAGCAGGTTAAAAACACAGTACTAAGAAACTAAAGCCACTTCCACATGAGTTCGATCCCCACATGGCGTGGCAGACCTCTCCTGACCAGCCCGCTGTTCCCCTCAGCAGTGTACTTCCTCGTCGATCTGCCTGTTTTGTTCCCCACTCAGTCTCTGATGAAGCCTCTCAACGCCCCTGAGCCTCTGGCCTGTACCCCAGTTCTGTATGCACAAATAAATAAATCTTTAAAAATAAATAAATAAATAATTGCTATTATTAAGTTATATGGATATTTTGTGCATTCGTATTAATGAACTTCATCAGTTATATCACATATAAAAGGTATGTTATACTTTTAACTCTTACATTTAGTTTTTATTTTGAATTAAGTTTTCCATATGTTGAGATAGGGATTTACCTTTATTTCTTTGCTAGTGCCTTTTGTTGGGAATGACCAATTAATGGTTTTAGCACCTTTGTCAAACAGAACTGACAATAGAGTACCACTTACTATCATTTAATTGTAAGGTTCAACTTCTCCTCACTCTTTGTGAAACATTTCTATAAATTTCTGTTTTTACTCTCAACAGGAAAAACTTAAAAGCTGATCTGAAGGTTAAAATAATTTGAAATTTCATCTACAAAGCCAATTCTGTATTTTCCACATCTTGTTGCTATGCCCATCAAGGTCACATTTTTTCCTAAAAAGGAATACAAGCAAATAAAAAAACTAAACTTTCCTGTGCACATTAAAATTTTCTTGTAGGCAGCGAGTCTTTCTGATGAGCAGAAGCCTAATAATTATTGTGCAAGAGGGCAGGGAGGCAGAGATCAAGTACACAGGTTTCAGATATAGCCTAGTCGTACACAATTAATCCTCTATAAGTAATACTATTTTCATTAGTAAAATAAGAGTCATGCTATCATAGGCTTTTGCAGCATTTAATAATCCTCTAATAACAGTAACATGCTGGTGTTTTAGTTGGTAACAATCTTACCAAGTGATAACTGCTGGATTGGCACCTGCTAACTTTTTCTTAGCATAATGTATTTTCTGACGGGGATACCAATTTTTTTCATTTACATTTATTTCTTGAATCCATGATCCTCCTTTTTTCAGCATTTTCTGTTCAAAATTCTAAAGAAAAGAACACAGTTTGTTCCAGTTATAACAATATATATGATCACAGATTAAACATATTAAATAAGTATTCATTTTAAATAACTATCTGTAACTGGTGAGAACTCTATAACTTTTTATGCAAAGTCCAATGGCAATATACCTAGCAGTGACAATGAACTTGAGGACTGCAGTTGGGCTTAAAATATCTCTACTGACAAAGTATACCATCATTCTTTTGGGGAAACATTTTGAAGAACCCTGAGATTAAAAAAAGCACTATCAGTCTTTATGATCAAAGAAGATCTCACAGGAAACATATTTTAAACTAAAATTTGTCTCCGAGAGAAATCAGACCTGTTATTAATAGGGCCACATTCTTTCTTCTACTTAGAAATACAGTTAATTCAAACAAAAATTTTCTCCATATAAAGGTGATATTTCTCATGTGGTTTTCAGGCCAAATGACTCCTACTGCTACTTTCAAGAAATGCTATACAAGATAATGCAAATATTTTAGTAGGCATGATTTAATGCATTCATCATATGTAGAAGATGCTAAGCAATCACTGGTACATTGTAATTAAAAGCAAAAAGTGTAGAGAAACAACCCTACTTTCCAGTCGAAGGAAGGTTCCTTTATAAACACATCCATGGTATTAATAAGCAAGTGGGGCTGTGACCGAAAGGCTCGCAGTGCATGAACCATGACATTGTACATAACGCCTGTTTCCTTCATTGGTGACATTAGATTGATCAATTGGCGAGTCAAACGGAAAGGCATTAACTCAGGGATTGGCAGAAACTAAAGAGAAAAATATATATGCAAGAAAATGAGAATACATGGACAAGAAGTCAAAAAGTAACAGGCATGAACAACACATCCTCCCACAATTATTAACATACATTTGAAAATGTGAGCATTGTCTTGAAATGAGCTATACAGATGTGAATTCATTGTGTTCGACAGAAATTAAAACAATAACCAAGCAAAAACCCAGGTGCACAAAACCATATAGCCCACAAAGACTTAGAAGTACAATTTAAAACGTTCAGTTTGATGTCAGAGAAAAGATTTGTATTTGTATTTGTCTTCCTTGTGGAAGTCATTTTGATACAGGGCTAACATTCTTTACTTTTTATTGGAACACATTTTATTATTGACTCTGATATACAACTTACCATCATACAGTCTAAGACCTGTTTAAACAATACAAAAAAGAAGTTGAGATTATACCATTCTACAAGAATGTCAAATTTAACAATCACGACAAATCTGACCTAGTGTCATTTCATCTCAAAAGCTATCCATTTCTAGAGAGTGCTACAAAGTCCCGCAACAGCTCTACACTAGCTGAGAGCGTTGAGATCAAGTTGGACGCACCTGCGTAGCTGACCCAAAGGCGTGTCCAAAGTCGATTCCGATCATGCCCCCCGTCTCCATGTTCACCATAAAGTTATTTAAATGTCTGTCTCCGATGCCCAGAATCCAGTGGCTGATACACATCAGAGCATGAGAGCTGGCACAGTGAGAGCGGAGAGCCAGGAAGGCCTCAGGGCCAGTGCTCATTGCCAAGAAGGCGCGCCTGCATAGGAAGACAGAGTCTTGGTGGGACCTGAGACACCACCAACCAGTTTGTAAAGTCAAAGTAAACTTACTTACTTTAAGAGATCAGGTGGCACTTTACTTTCTCTTTTTCTAAAAGATGTCACTGTTTCGGTTCGACTAGCTCCCCTAAGATTTAATAGCAGGAAACATCAGATTAGAACAAATTTCTCATTACTTGAAATCTAAAATTGTTATTTTGCCCTGAAACTCAAATCAAATAACTATATTCTGATAACCTCACTGAGTCAAAATTTCTAAAAAACAAAACTCTGCAACTTGTAAGGAATGAACTAGTTAGGAAGGACATAAAAACGAACTTACTTATACATTAGCATGTAAGCACCAACATCGCATCCTCCAGATATCTTTGTCAGCCAGTCTTTGTATTCATATGGTGGAGCTTTGGGGTCACTGACAAGTATGTAAAAGGGAATCAGCATTATGTAATTTCTGAGGCAAATATCACCAAGAATTCATTGACAAGTCATTGAAGAGGCAGAAAACAATAAATTTTACTTCTAGTCTTATTTATTATTAGCGGCGCTAAACCCTAGAATACCAATAAATAATTATTCATTTTTAGTTACTCAAAAGAAACCAAAGCTATTTCCTATGCAAAAATTTAAGCATAAAATAATCAAATATAAAATGTTTCACTTCATACAGAGAGGGAATAACTATGCACATGGTTCTAAAGTCTGATCCTAGAAAAAAAAATCCTAACAAATTAAAGTAGGCAAGAAATGTTAAAGCATAATACTAATACAAGCAAAAAGATCACTATTTATTGTTTGAAAATGAATTAAGTCTGTTTTCTCATGATATAAAGAAGTGCCACACTTTCTGAACAATTTCCAGCATGCAGATGCACATTAAGTCCATATAGTATTTTCTTAACTACAATGGATTTGAACTGAACTTCCATAAGGCTTCACAGGAAAAACACAGATGAAAACAATACAACATTTGATTGGTCACTTTTTTTAAAAAAAAAGATTTATTTATTTATTCATACAGAACTGGGGTATAGGCCAGAGATGCAGAGGGTGAGAGGATTCACCAGTGACAGAGTGGGCAGCAGAACAGGCAGATCAACTAAGTACACTGCTGGGGGAGCAGCGGGCGGGCCAGGAGAGGTCTGCCACGCCATGTGGTCACCTCCGGGGCAAGCGGGGATGGAACTCATGCGACAGTGGCTTAAGCTTCTTAGTGCTGTGCTTTAACCCACTGCGCCAACAGGGAGGGCCTTGATTGGTCACTTTTAAGTTTCTGTCAAAATGAACAAGTTTTTCTTGGGCAATGTCACTATATGTTATTTAGTAGTTCAACCACTTAAGGGAATTTCAGAGTAGCGACTAAGTTAATTTCATAGTTTAACCTAAATAATAATAATGTACTCTAAATTCTCTTTTAGTTACCACTGGAATGCAAAGCTTTATGTTGAAAGCTGTAACATGTTAGTTTAAGGGAAAAACAGCAATGGTTTGGGTAATATGAGGCTGTAAGTACTTTGTTTTAAAAGGTAGTAGGGAAACAATTTATATAATTCTGCCTTTGAAAAGCATTTCAAACTTTTGATACTTATTTTACCTTCCGTATTTTATGTTACTACCCTACCCAGATTTTAAAAAAGAGATATGGGGAATAAGAGGAAAGAAAAGGCACTTGTTTTAGATTCTCACTGTGTGTCAAGTTCTCAGTGAGTGAGCACCAGAACAAGCGCAGGAATTTCCAATTGGAGGAAGAACTGTTCCTCTGGGAAAAGCGGAAACAATTTAAATAGGATTCAAATGACTGTAATTAGAAGTTGGTAAACACTGCCCTACTTGCAACTACTATCCAGGAATTTGATAAGAGTATGTTTAATTTTATGAAAAATTCCCAACTGGCAAGAACGTTGTTTTATGCAAATACTTTCAGGAAAGAATGAGAGTAAAATGAAAAAAAAAAAAAAAAGGCATTGAAGTTCTTCCTTCATCCTATAGTTAGTTACCAAAACTTGTTTACTCCTCCTTTAAAATATCTTTCAATAGTGCCCTTATTTTTCTTTATAGAAACAAAAATTATTCACAATTATGGTTTAAAAAATTTGGAACATATAAAAATGTCAAAATAATAAAAAGCAACTATTAATTACTAATAATCATGGCTGTTCCACTCATATGCAAGGTGACCTAGGGCAACGTATCTAACCTCTCTGGGCCACAATTTCCTCAGCTGTACAGAAGTGAAGCCAGTACCCACCTTGGAGATTGTTGTAGAATACTGCCTAGCATATAGAAAATATATTGCTGCCAATCATGTTATTTGTTTAATTTCCTTGCAAGATTATTTTTCAAAGTTAATACTTTTTTAAAAATTGTGATAAAATATAGGTAACTGCTGTTTAGAATGTTCAGTCCCATTTAGTTTATTCATCCACAGAAGCAGATTAAAGAAGAGCCCAGGCAGTGCTGAGTGCACCCAAAAAAATAGAGACCTAAAATGTCTCTAACAGGAGGTGGAGGAAACAATGTGAACCAACTCTATTCAGGGAGGAGATTACATCTACACAGTAGCAGCAGGTTGGCTAGGGTGGGGTTGCAATAGCCCCAGAGATGAAGTACTACCTACCTTGTATAAGCAGCTTTCTCTTCTTGTGACATGTTACTAAAAAGGAGTTCCTTTAAGGTAAAAGTATTTTCAATCCATTCAATTAATCCTAATCTGAAAAAGAAAATAAAGTTTGTGAACACAAATCCAAACTGATCTTCACTAGAAAAAAAATTTATAGAATAAAAGCTGTCTAATCTTCATTTTTTCTATATTGCAAAGAAAATCATTAAGTACTTACTAATCAGCCCTCTGTCTTTGTGAAATCTAAAATAGGATTCCTTAATATCTAAAAGGAGAATATCATTATCTGCTATGACTAGGTAGGCTTAGTATTTTGAGTTCGGAAATGCTATCACCATTAGTTTATGTGGTAAAATGCTAGTGTTCCCAGATCTATATTCCCAGGTCCCAAATTCCACCCCCTGCCCAAAACCTACCAAGTTATATCAAATAGGTACATTTTACTTTTGGATAGCAGGGAAACCAAAATAAAGAATTGTCAAGTGACCTCCAGCCCCATCTCAGTAAAATTAAACAAGGATTTGGCCTACTGCTGGAATTGCTATTCACATAATCCATTCTACATAATGTGCATGTTGTTTATACCTGGAGGTCATGGGTATGACATGGTATGTCTTCAACTGCAAATTTCTCTGACCACAAGCAGCATCTTGGGACAGGATGACATTCATGACCTGGAAGAGCTGTTCTATGCGCTGGTCCTGCCTCAGGTCTTCACCCCCCTTCACCAGGAAAGGGTACTCTTTCTCATTGTGACCTCGGATGACAATACGCTTAGGTTTTCTGATAGAAGCCATTACTTTTACCTTTTGAAATAAAGTATTTTTAGGTGTAGTCTGAGAAATTATGAGGATATGATGTCATCATCAGAAAGGGAAAAGTATGTTTGGCTGGCATGTATTCTTCCAAAAGAGACCTCTCCTTGAAGATAATTCAGGTGACAGAAAACGAAGAGCCAGCGGCATATCTGTGCTTCTCAAACACCACCTCTTTCTATTTAATTAATTCACATTAATTTCACATTAATTTCATATTTCTGGTTATAAGTTTCACAAATGTGGTTATATTTAGTAATAAGCAAAATGAACATGTTAACTTTCCATATTTACTTTTACATAGATATTATTGATACGCATATAGTTCACTCTTTGAGGCTGTTATATCCTTAACTATGTTTGATATTGAGACACTAGAAGCATTTTAGTAGGAAATTCAATAAATAGTGGAACTAGGAAACTGTAGATTTGAGACTAATAAAGAAAGCTAATGGTCTTTTTCCTATTATAGACAAATGTATCATTTTCACATTGCAGAAATAAATGCCATATATTAGCCATCCTTTGCACAGTCCAGGCTGCAAACACTGGCACCTACCCGCTCATCAAAGCCAGCAATTCGTGCGTGGTATTCAGGGAGAGGCTTTCCTTTGCCATTATACTGACCTAAAACAAACCACAGAAGTCTTACTTAGATACAGCCTGTTACAGAACCCCATATTTAAAAATGTAACCTATAAGCTTATGAAAAAAGATAACCAATTTATCATAATGCTTTATTGAAATTTTTCGTTTAAAGAAAAGGGACTTATTTTTTTCTAATGCAATTATTTCCCAATATGACTAACTAAAGTTTGCTTCCTATTCAAAAAGAGTAGAAAATTCCAAACAGGAAAAAATAATTCACTGGCTAGAATACTGTAAGATTTCAAGGAGAATCTAGCTGTACATTATGAAGCTAATATTTTAAAGGCTTTTCTTAGAACTGACAATTGTTAACAATAATAGAGAATTATTTCTCAAAATATGTTTTTCTTATATCCCCTGGAATGAGAATGAATAACCAGATTAAGGTTTTTTTTTTTGATCTGACAAATTAAAGTGTAAAGAATGTGGAATGTACAAAGACTTCCTTTGAAATATCACACTGTGTTCACAGTTGACCAATATCTTGAGTCTGTCCTCAGTTAATCACATCCTTTTTCCAAAGAATTTATCATTATCTTATCATTTGAAATGGAAATAACATGTACAACCCAGAAGTGATTTGCATCTATACCTGTATTATTATTCTGAAGAAAAGTTATTTGAGTAATGGATGGGGATGTTCAGAATTTATGCCATAAATAGGAATGCTACAATAATCTTATCTGACAATTAGTAATGTGCAGAAATTCAGAGTAATTGATTTTCTTAATAATGAATATGGTAAAATTTTAAATTCTTAATAAAGATACCTGTCAAAATCCTGACATCACTATAGTCAGAAATTGAAAGTTCTATGATGCTATTCACTTTAAAGTACAAATTTTGTCACCCTGAAGATGAACTCACCAGGAATTTCAAGCTCACTTCTCAAGAATTCTACATTGAAGTTACTCATCCAGGGGGAGCATTCTTTCAGATTCCCAGGTGGCTTTGAGTCTTTGATCATTTTGGAAAGCAGTGAGTTAGTAATGCCACTGAAGTCATGAAGTTTCATTCCAAGTAGTTTAGAACCTCCTCTCCCAAAGTGTTTATCAAATTCTTTTCCAAAAGTCTGAAATTTATAAAAATTAAAAGATTAGTGTTGAGTTTTAAATCTAGATAAGGTACTAAATTTATGTTCAATAAACAACTATCTAATTATGTACAGTTATTCTGTACTTTTAAGGTTTATAGTTTGCTTTAGTTGAATGTTTCAAGTAAACATTCTGCAGCCTGTCTTTTATTTATTTCATTGTGTTCCTTTGAAAAGATAGAAGGGATTTGGCTCTAATAAAGTAATGAACAATCATAAATTCTCTTAAGGGCTTTAAAAGTTTAACCTCTGTGCCCATTATCTAGTTATTAACCCGAATCACTATGGTAACAGGAGTAATTAGGAACAAAGTAAAAAATAAACCAATAAGGGGAGTAATTCAATAAAATGAACCACCTACAATTCTTCATATGGTATTAAGAAAAAATGTAATGTTACTTCCACTACTTAGCCACTATTTAGAATCATTAATGTAAACATTATTTAGGTAATAAGTCTCTAAAAGCAATTATTATTAGAAATAATTTCTCCTGAAATATATAAAATATTTCTTTGTATCAGTCATCATTCAAATATTTAAGTTATGATCCAGTAGGTTCCTCAAAATATTAAAAAGAGATCAACCATATGATCCAGCAATTTAACTCCTAAGTATCTACTTGAAGAATAAAAAAACACAAATTCCAAGGTCTGTTCATTGTAGCCCTATTCACAATAACCACGTTATGGAAACAACCTAGGCTCCCTAGGAAAAATGATCATATTAAGAAGATGAAACACTACACAGTAATAAAGAAGATGAACTCTTGCCATTTGCAGTAACATAGATGGAAATGGAAGGGATTATGTTATTTGAAATAAGTCAGGGGAAGAAAGCAGATACCAATGGTTTTACTTGTATGTGGAATATAGAGAAATAAAACAGGATCTCACAAAACCAACCCAAAATGTACCCTAGAAATCTGACTGTAGAATGAGGCTACCAGAGCAGGAGGAGAAAGGATGGAGAGCAAAGTGTGGCAGGGATCCAGTGGAGACGACAGGTGCCCGGGTTGTGGATGTGGTGAGGTAACATATTTCTAAACAAATACGATGCTATACCTCTGCCTTATATATGGTGTAAATCAATGTTACCTCAATAAAATAAATTAAGGTATTGTAATTTTTATATATATGTATTTTTTATTTTTAAGATTTATTTATTTGTGCATACAGAACTGGGGTACA